TCCCTGGGCTCACTCCCGTTGTGGACATACCTCTCCTGCGCGGCCTCGTCGGCACTCTTACGGGGCGCCGCCACCTACAGTTGTCCGTCCATGTTGCTTTCCCAACGGGGCGCGGGCCCCTTGGCCCATCGAGCCACTAGATGACGGTGGTTACAAGCAGTGGGGCCCCATCCAGGCGTTCACACTGCAGTTCGGCTCGTCCAGCCCATTCAGTACCCGAACTTGCCCGCGGCAGCGTGTTGACAAGCTTGGTTTCGGCAGCCCTGCGTTGCCCAAGCTTTCGGGTTTGCGGTTTCTGCGCTTCTGCGAGGTGCGGCCGGGACCTTGGCAGCGCGGCCGGCGATGGCACGCGTGGAGAAAGTTGGCCCGAGGCAGCGCAAACAAGTCACCGCCGCTGCCCGCATCGGACGCCGATTCGAGGATCCCCTGCACAGTCAATCGGTCAAAGATGCCTGGACCCTTGAGCTGCCCGCGCGTTCGGTCAAGGTCAGCCCTGTGGGCGGCGATCTGGCACGTTGCACACAAGGGTCCCCTGGGGCTGGGGGCCACTGATCAGATGGGGGGATTTGCAAGCACGTTCGCCACAGGGGGACGGCGCCTGTCCAAAGGCAAGGTCCCCCTGCCGACGAACGAGCGGGGGGACGTCGACCGCGGCACCGCCAGTAGCGCTGACCTGCGTTGGGCCGCTTGACCGGCGTTTGGGTGATGGGCGCCTCTTCGTGGGAGCCCAATTGAGCGGATGCCTGCGAGCGGATGCTTGTGAGCCTGGCGCCGCGCGCAGATGCACGCAGTGCCTCATCAAACTCGAAACACTCGTCTGAAACTCGCAGCATTCCGAAAGGCTCCAGCGCCAACACAACAATTCACCGCCCGAGGGCGGCCATTGGCCAGCTCGAGGCTGGAAGTCATTCAGCGATCCTAAATTGGCTTCGATTTCACCCAATGAGTGGCCCATGCACTAGGAGAAAAGGGGCCAAATAACACTTTTGCGAACACACATAAAAACACATTTCATCAAAGTTCTGCATGCTGAGAACAGAAAAATGACACAAACCCGTAAACTTTGCACGCGTTTGAACACGTGTTATTTGGCCCTTTTTTCCCAGTGATGACAGGATCATGGCAACCAACTGTGCAACGTTAGCATTTGGCATGGCCACTGAGCGTCGTTAAGCATGCCAAGAGACGTCAATCAAGAGACATAAATAAAGAGTAAATAGATGTAGAGTCTTTAATAAAATCACCTGACGCGCTTCTGTACAGAAGCTTTACATGTAAAGCACATTGCGCTGCTGAGAGAAGCCAGAACATGCTGCCCAATGTCATAAATGTGCTTAGAAAATAATGCAAAAAATGGCAGCCGCGCTTTCTGATCATTTCTAGATATAAATTGTGACGCTTTTGGAAGCTCCACGTTTCAAAGGCAGAATTGCGGCAGCAAGTACCAAGAATATGGGTGAGGAATTATGCATGTTATCGATACAGGGCTGAAAGGTATTATACGGCCAAACCTGGAACTCGGAATTGGCGCCTTTCCCCGTTATCTCTGAATCGGCTGCCGCTTGCTCGCCCGCCTTGCCAGGCCGGGCCGTCGGTGCCTGTCCCAGTGTGCACTCCCGACCTTCAGACATCCGCACTGTCATATCCGCTGATTGCTTGGTGGAAGGGTGTACTCAAGGGGTTGGCTGGACTACCCTCTTCCCTGCCCCCTTGCGGGCAGAACAGCGGGGCATCCCACCCAGAGGCACCCGGTCCGATCCCCGGTCAAACATCATCTTTACCTTCAGCGCTAAAACACAGATGTTATACCGACACACGGAGCATCCAGAAAGGGAAAAGAAAAGCCAAAGAGGAGAAACCCTGTGTGCAGGGCTTTCCCAGTACCCGGGCCCGCTGACATTGCACTGCTCGGGTACAAGCACTGCGGTCCAGTCGCCTATCTGGGAAGCGGGCGGCGACTGGAAAACCGGCCGGAGCAGCCGCTCGCGAGCGCCCCGACACAAACGGTGCAGTTGCCTCTGGGCGGCCGGGGGCAAGCACGGCATGTGTGTGGCTCCGAGAGTCGCCGGTCGACAAAAGACAAAGCATTCCCGGGGCCATATTGTGGGGGGCACGCGGAGGCCCTGGATCAACTTCCCGGCGACTTTCTGGGGATTGGTGGGGCGCCGATCGCCGCCGGCCGTTCGGCGGCCCAGTCTTTGATTTTCTCGACGGAGAGGCTTTCGACCAGGCGGTGTGGGCTCGCCTCGCCGGCTGAGGCCCATCCTCTGCAGCTCGGACAGTGCGCCAGGCCCCTGCCGGCGCGCTTGACCTGCAAAATCCGTTGGCCGGCAATTCAAAATGTTAGGTGGCTGGCAACATCTCACCGATCGGGTCCAGAGACGCCAAACGAGCGGCCGCCTCCGATTGTGCGCCGCCGCAACCAAGCGGATCAACAATCAGGTCAACACACAGCAGGTCAACTAGCGGGTCATCAATCAACTTGCGGGTCATCAATCAGCACAGCCTCCAATCGGGTCGCCGCGTGAGGGAGCCGATACGTCGCCATTCGCGCCGACGACCGGAGGCGGGGTTCGCCGTGCGCCTGTCGGCGTGCAGGGATGCACGAGCAGCCAGGTTTCCGAAGTGGGTGAACATGCATCCGATGATTGGGTTGGCGCACACCACGCTTGGTTACAGTTTGATGGAGCCAGTCATGTCGCCGCGTTTCTTGTCTTCCGGTGCGCCCCCACGATGCTCGCGCCAGGCGCTGCTGTTGGGACACCGTCGTGGACGGGCGGCGCCTCAGCTTGGAACGCCGCTTCTGTGTGCTTTGCTGGAAGGAGAGAAATGAAGGAGTGTCCACGGGAGACGGTTCACGCCTGGCCATTGCACGGACACTAGACTGCATTAAGCATGGAACAGAGGAATTTGCAGCAACCAGAGAGTTTGCATCAAGCACCCAACAAACTAGTTTGCATTGACCACCCGTTCTCCTTATTGGCTTGTGCCGTGCTGGCTGCAGCTGCACGGCACACCTACTTACTAAACGCGCCAGCGTCGTTCAACCTTGACAAGAGCATGATCGTCCCGCTGAGCTCCCATGGGAAAACGTGGCCACGTTTTCAACAGCGTCCAGCTGCTGAAACTTGCCGAGGAATTTTCAGCAGCGCAGTGCGTGCGAATATCTGCATTGGTACGACCAGATGCGGGGCAAGAAATTGCAGACTTCGGAATTGTCGGGCCTGGTTTTGAAGTCGCTACAAATACTACCCATCTGTCCATCCACTGTTGCTGAGATAGGCGGAGTGTAAATGGCATCATTGAACACTGCGTTTAGCGAGAGAGCTTTGGTCAGCTAACAGCGTAGACTCGCGTCTGGTTGCAACACAGCTTAGCCGCTGAAGAGATGCATGGTGGTATCACACGTGGCACGCGCCGCTACTGAGCTCATTTGTGGATAGAACGAAGCTTTCTTGTAATGTGGACAGACATATCTTGGATTTCAACGTCACTTTGGTGACCACGGTTGGCATGCGTTGCGGGCAAGTGGTGGGAAAGGTGAACGGTTTTTGCGCAGAGCGGAACGCTACCGTGGTCACGTGCATGCACACTTCCAAAAGCGCTTTTGGAAGTGTGCATGCACGTGACCACGGTTCGCATGTGTTGTGGGCAAATGGTGGGAAAAGTGAACGGTTTTGGGCAGAGCGGAACGCTTTTGGAAGTGTACATACCCGTCATCACCTGCAAGGTGCAAGGGCAGAGCTTTGCCTTCCAAAGCAAAATTTGAAATACGGAATTTAGTTGCATCGGGACACAGAAGACTATCATGGTAAGAGGAGCAATTTGAACCGATTCATTCAACAACTGCAGAGCGCAAAGCCACAGCGACAGTACCTCTGTCAAAACTTTGTCCACCCCGCCGTATGGAAACTCCACTGGCAATGCACCAGCTGAGGCCCCAATGTTCGGGAGGTGACGTGCCATGAGCATGGCAATGGATGCGCCATGCAGATAGTTGATTAGGGCCTCCCACATGCGCGTGTCAATGGCGCAAGCGCCCATGGCAACGGCCCTTCCATGGCGGGATCCACCACATCGACAGTTCATCGATTCGACGTCAAGATGTCAACCCCCTGATGACAATGAGGGCCTGCCCCTTGCGGCCCGAGTGGATGTGGCAATTGTGGGGCGAGAAGGACTTGCCGCTGCCAGAGAGGCGTTTTCAGCGGACGTCGCCACGTTGCAGCCCCATCCAAATCAGCCTCCACCTCCTGCGTGCTTAAGCGTCCCAGCAGGTGTTTTCTGGGGTGCTGGGAACTAGCTCAAAGTTGCACCAGCGCCACGACAGGTGACAAGCCATTCGGACCAGTCCTATCGCCGCTTTCTTGTCCATGATTTTCAGCGATTCGGCACAAGCTCGGCACGAAAAGAGCGCGTGCGACTTCTGGACGAAGCCCAACGCCATTTCACGAGCTTCAGCGCCTGCTTCCGGGCCCCGGAAGGATTCATGAGTGTCGATGCGCAAGCGCGCGAACAAATTCCACCACGAAACGGCGCTGGCCCTTCCACGCCGAAGGAACGCCCGCCTCCGTCGCTCGCCACCCCTTTCCCCCATCAACCGCCGCAGCATCGGCCTGACGCCCTCACTTCCCGCCGTGCGGGGCGCACCCCCGCAATCCACAAAGATCTTCTCCCCTTCCGTGACTCGACGATCACTACAGGCCCCGCGCACAACCGGCCCACCTGATGGCCCATTCAGCGGGTGACTGGCGCCCTGGGTCGCCCGCGCCAAGCGTGACCGACCCACAGGGGCACCAATCACGGCCCCGTCTGATTGGCCCCGCGTACAAGCCTCCGCATCCGTGGGCAGCATCGGTGGGAATTGGACCCCCGCCGCGCGCGCACACACCGGGTGGGGGCTGGGAGCGACGCCGGACTGCACGGTTGAATGCTGCGCCGCCCCTCGGCCGCACACACACACCCCGCCGCGAGGGCTCCCAGCCGGGGCCGTGATAGGGATGGTCGCCGTGCCCGTGGGCTACACCGCCGCTGCGCTGGCGCTGGGGCGCGCGGCGCTGGACAGCGCCTGCCGGGAGGCCGGCGGGTCGGTCGCCGGGGTGAGTGCCGGTCGCGATTGCTCTTCCGCGCATTCGTTTGCGCACTCGCGCCTGCGCTGTTGGGAGTTGGTCTTGACGCGCTTGGGGCGCCCATCGCCTCCACGGGCCCCCCCTGAGCGGGGTGAACCCGAGCCTTCGCGACATGTTCCCGACAAATTCGGGCCCGGCCTGATCCTGGAGCGAGCGCCCGCGGATTGTCCGCCCGGGAGTCCGCGCCTATTGGCGTGCGGCACGCAGCTGGGGCTGCCGACGCGATTCCTCCCGGGAGAGCGGCCCGCCGTTGCGCCCCGCGCCTGCGACGACAATCGCGCCCGTCCGACGCGCCCCCGGGCGTCCGCCACGCGACGTCGGGGCGCCCCGCATCGGCAGGGGGCGCACGGCAGCGTCCCCGCGATCGGTTTCTTCGCCCAGAGCACCGCGAATGGACCGGCAGGGCTGCCGACGGGGCCGGCTGTTGCCTGGCGCCGCTGCCGGGAGGGTCCTACTCCACAGCCCTGGGCGGTGGGTCTGCGATTGTTCGGCATGCCGCGCATGCCTCACCGAGCGCGCTGCCGCGCTGACGGCGCGCGAAGCCCCCTCGGGCGGCGCCTCCCCGCCCCGCCGCCCTCCTCCCATTGCCCCCCGATCGCGGAATCGAGATTCCGCCCAAAATCCCCTTCTCTGCATCCCCCGTGTCGTCCGCGGGCACCGCCCCTGGACCCTTCGTTGACTGTCGTTGGACATGCGTGTTCGATCCCCGTTGGTCAACGAGCGGCTGTGCATGTTTGCCCACTGGGGCCCGTGGACTTCATTTGGGCCCCTGTGCAAGAAGGCCGGTGTTCGGCGGGCTGGCCGCCGGCCGGTCGCGCCGCTGTCAAGGCGCTCCTCCAACGGGCGGGCGAGGCGGGCTGCCGCGAGCGAGCGGGGTGGTCCCATTGCCGCGTTCAATGTCATCATTGGCCTAATTGACGCCCCTGCCGCCGCACTCACAGCCACGGCGCCCAAGGGGGGCACATCCCGCCCAAACGGTCGGGGGACGACCTAGGGGATGGCGCGAACCCTTGTACGGATCAAAGAGGATGGTGCCGGACGCCGGGTGGTTGTTGTCATGTCGAAGATTGCCCGTGATTTTGATCGATATCAGGATGGGCCCGTGCGGTCGAAAATGGGAAGGCGTTCCCGATGCGGGATCATTGTGACAGCGACAGTGACGGAGACGGTACGGAGAGGGAGACGCGGTACATACACACAATAAACCCTGATGCCCCACCGCCCAATCTCCGTCACCGTCACCGCACCGGCAGAACATGAAACCGGCGTCGTCCAATCGTGACCCGACTCCGTGACTCTCCCCGTCACCATCACCGTCTCTGTCACCATCTCCGTGACCGTCACCGTCACGGCGCTCATGGTTCGCATCGGTACCACTGTGAAAAATGGTGACAGGTCCTCGCACCCCCCCGGAGCTGCAGGGCACTGCGTTGGGTGTGTCGCCCGGACAGACGCCAACCGAAGCAACCACGCCCCCGGGCAGGGGAGCTGTGTGGCTGGCCGAGCGCCTAGTGTTGGAGTTTTTGGAGGTGGTTCGCGCACACTTGTTGCCGCTCTGACTGGGCAGCTGGGGTCCGCGGCCGCCTCCTTGCCTTGATATTCGACCGCCCTTGACGGACGAACAGCTGCCCCGGCTCGCTGGGGGGGCGCGTGCCAATTGCGCTGACTGCGTGCATGTCGCAACATGCCTGTGCCCAGTGGGGCCTCACGCAGGGGGGCACGCAGGGAGATGCGCCATGGATTGCACGAGATATTGCATGTACCGTAGTACATTCAACCCTTGCGCATCAAAAATTTGCCGTTACTCTTTTTGCTCCGCTTTTTCTTCAGTGCGCTATTCTTGATTTTCTTACACTGCTCCGCCAAATTTTGTTGAAAGAACGTTATTTATGTTACTCTTTTCTCCGCAAAAGAGGCCAAGCTTTGCGCTACTATGTTTAAGGGTTGAATACACTACGGTGGCGGACGGCCGCATGTTGTCACAGCTGGCCACATGTGATCGCATGTTAGCAGGCCCATGCACAGACGATGAGCGCGTGTCGTTTAAAATGGGGCTTCGCGTGTTTGGAGGACTACTGAATGTCGTTTCAAGAAATTGGCTATTTTTTGGCTTTGTTATGCATTTTTATCGACTTTGAATGATTTTTTTTTCAGGCCGCTGTCATGCCTTCAACAGAGCTGCTGCAGCGTCTGCTCAGGAACGGGTACCAGGAGGCCAGCACCGTGGAGCATGAAGTGGTAACGTTGCATTTCGTTGTTGCCCAGATAGTGCTCTCAACAGTCTGTTTTCCTCTATTAGCCTATTGTGCATTTATTGTGTATTGTGCAGTTGTGATGTCTCACACACAGAAAAGTGGGGTGGCGCTCTTCACAGCACTCTTCACAATCAGCCTCATTTGTGCAGTGATCGAAATGTTGCTGAATTGAGAACGCCATATGAAACTGTATTGCCTGGCTTATGATACAGGCTCTGTAGTTACCAAGAAAAATTATAATTTCTTATTGATATTTTTTTAGATATCATATCCGGATCCGGAGGGCTTGGCCTTCAGTTGTGGTGTGCATCCAATGTTGCCAACGCCCATCGGAAAGTTTGTCCGCAATTAATATTTGCATATTCTGCTTGTCTATTAATTGCATGCATGATCGATTCAGCAAATAATTTATGCATCCCTGGTGCTGGAATGATTTGTTGCCTAATGCAGGGCACACCATTGTTTGTGATCGCAGCTTGCTGCTGCAGATGCGGAACAGCAGCAAATGACAGTGCTCCAGTTAAATGTAGCACAACAGCTGACATCATCAACATTGACAACGATGGCAGTGTCAAATCATATGTACTTGCCGTTGATGTTGCTATTTGAAAGTGTGTCAGAGTTCGTCATGCCTCTGGCCTGCACAAACACAGTCAGCACATTCCATGTCCAATTCCCTTGTCCACTACTGGCCCAATTGCTTCATTGAGGACAGTCACTAAAAAGTGCCAAACTCCACCAGTGACGGCCCAGTTTTGCAGGATTCGGTCCCCAATATCAGAGCACCCGCCTGCTGACTAACCCCACAGACTCTGCAGATCCCCCGCCCCCCTTTTGCTTATGCCTACCAAACTCGATGGAGATTGGGCTTTTTTTCGAAAACAAAGAAAGAATGGAACGAATTTAAGCGTTCGCGCATTTTTCAGACTCCAAAGCATTGCATCACATTCAGGAGTCCAGGTGCCATCCATCCTGAATGAAGAGGTCTGGGCCTTTGTGAGCACCCTTTTCATTCAAGACAGTGCTTCGCATCAACGGTACGTCTAACAATTAGAATTGACACATATCTTGGCTATTGGTAGCCTGATGGCATCTGCAAAGCTCGCACATTCGTTCGGTGCTGAGTCAAAAACTGCAAACAGTACAGCAGTTTAAACTGTACTAAGCAAATTATATATCATATTCGAGGCCAAGTAGGGACTTATGTGAGGGGTTGTATAAGCAGTCTGTGTCCCAAAAAAAATGCAATCTGCATTGAAGTACAACTTCCAGGAGGAGTGCATGTGGGTCAAGATGCGTTTGTAAATGTCCCATACCCTGGATATCGTGTAGGATATGGAAGTCTTGTATTGTCCCCCGTGTGCAGGATATCAAATAGGATATGGGCTCCACGCTCTGGATAGAGATATCCAGGATATGAAACCTTTCTCGATAAGCATCTTGCTATCCCAAGTAGCCACAGCAAAGGAATGGAGCACTCCTGACATGCCAATACCAAGTGGTAGTTGGGATAGCATTTGTTTATTTTTTCAGATGGTTCTGCCCCAGCTTGCTTGTCCGGCCTGTTTGGTTCAGAAAATATGGCATGCATTGGAGCAACAGGTTGAGCAATGTGCCTGTGTATAGAATCCACTTTGTACTGCCCCTGCGGAGTTGGCGCCCAGCATCTGGGGTGGGGATTCCTTGCCCAGGTGCGTTGGCAAAGATTGGTCAAGTTTGCACCTTTCTTCGTTTCATTAAACAGAGTTGACTTGGTGAAAATCTGGTTAAGAAAGACAGTGCAGTAGTGCCGGGCGCCATACATGGACATAGGCCACTGAACAGGATTTCAAGCATGGCAGCATATTCGGATCTCTAAGAAAGAAACCTGATCGTGTGCATTACCTTTGGCTTTACGGTTTTCTGGTGTTTGAAACTACAGTGTAAATGTGAATGTAAATGTGTCCACTGCATTCAACTGTAGAGACTGAAACGCAGGCCCGTGTTCCATGTTCTGCCATCGGTTGGGCATGAACGGAACTTGAAACACAAGGCAAGCGTTTGCTTGTGCTCACACATGCCCAGCAACTGCCCAATTCCCCAGATATTGCCACATGATGTGCCACACTCATCCATGGCCCATCTGTTTACTAAGCATTTTCACATTTGACTATTTGGCCTGCAGCTGCAAGACAGCTGCCTCGAGCGTTTTCGACACGCCAGCCGCGCCTCTGTGGACTGCCCAGGAGAGCGCACAGCTGCTGACCTCTAGCACTGTGGAAAAGAGGGCTGCCTGGCAGATGCCCGCGCTGGGCCTGTCGCCCTTCATCGTCGACAGCTCTCAGACTCCGAGCAGTGGTGAGGACCCGCACCATTTGTCGAGTCGTGTTTGTCATCAACTTCAAAGCAGAAGAAGAATAGGTTTTATCGATTGCTGTAGGGCACAAATCGAACAAAACGCTGAGAGGGCAGCCGTTGGGCGTTGCAGGGGATGGCTGGCAGGTGCCCATCCAAAAAAGTCTTCCGCACGTGTGGAAATGTTGCAATTGTTGTTGTATGTCTCGTTCATGTTGTTTCAGGTTATGTGTGTGAAGAGCACACAGTACCCACTTGCGTTTTGAAACGGGCATGTGCACTGTGAGAACATGCGCCTCCAAGGTCAAATGTGCCTCAATATTGCATAATTCAGTTTATTTCGTTAATGCATTGATGTAATGAGAATGGGTTCTCGATTTTGTTTGCTTTGCACTGCTGGTACACGACTATCACCAGTTTGGATGCTTTAACACGGGTTCATGTCCTGTAATAGGCTAACTTTGGGGGAACAATTGGGCATCAAATGTTGACAATTTAGGACGATTAATGATGGAAACAAAGTGAAACGTCAATCTTCTGTTGTTGGAGAGCATGGCAAAGCGTGGCATTTCTCAATCGGTCAGCTTGATTTCGACACGCATCAAAATTGGCGTTTTGCCGGTGCCATGTGTCGTCAGTTCTGCCATGTGGGCCCATCGGCGACCTTTGTGGACGGGTCGACTCCGCTGTCTCCCGCAATGCACTGTGGAATCGGTAGCGAATGAATCAGAAACGTTGCAAATGGGGAAGCCGCAGGTGCTCGTGTGCCAGCGGCCAAGTTTGCTGCCGACTGTGGAGTATGTGTGTATCTTGTTCTTGTTATTGTCATGGTTTATTTATCACATACATATTGCCATATGTGCCATATTGCAATGTGCAATTAATTGCCCGGAACCTGTTGCAGTTTTGAAAGAAACATGAATGACAGCTTGAGAGGGTGAACAGGAGCCAGTGTTGGGAAACGCATGAAGAAAAATTGCAGTTCTGACCTGTAATTTATCAGTTGCCTGCAGATTTCTGCACTCAAGGACTCGTTGTACCACAGAAGACACCATTATTGTGATGCTAGTTGCAATGCCATTGGACACTTGCTGATGCCATGGCAATCACTGTTGTGATATCAACCAGTGTCAATTGGCATCGCTGTTGGCATCACAGTAATGGTGCTTGCTACTGGTGTTTAGGATTTGCAGCATTGTGAGTGTCCGTGTGCATTGCAGTGGCAGAAGTCAGAACAGCCCAAGAGATTGAGGAAATGCAACAGGGCATCACTGGAGCACGGCGGATTAGTGGCAGGCAGGGATTTTGGTCCTGCGCACTGGCATTACAGCAGCCTGCAGCTCAGTTATTTGCAAAATTGTTGAAAGACCATCATTCCATAAGAATGAGTATTTGAAGTTATTGTACTCAAGTGATGGCTCCCACAGCAGTTGTTAAGCACAGGCCCCCGGCAACTGGTTAACGAGAATGGGTTGCACACATGCCTTGCTTCTTCATTTTCGCTATGTTATCTTGTGATATTGCCTTATGCCCGTGCTCTGTAGTATCTCCTTGGCTTCTGGTGGCTTGCACAGCAGAACATGAACCTCACACTGACCTTGCACAATGGTTTGTCAGTGTAGACGTCCCTGACGTTCTCCAAAGAAATTCTCAAAGTGGGTTGTCCTGTTCTGCACTGCTTCAGTGGTTCAGCCACAGATGGCCCTTTCATGGAAGAACAGCTCCAGGATGCAGTTAGTCCATTGAGCAAGTTGTGTTGGATAGACTGACCAGTCAATATGGTGAATGACTTGAATTTTACTCTTCTGCATGCTTGTTGTGGAGATTGTCCAGCGTTACAGAGGGGGCTACAAGCATAACCATTGGATCATCAGAGTTACTGCCGCACAGCTATGCTCTGAGTTTTCCCATTTTGACATATTGCTCTTTGCCTGAATAAACCCTTGTAAGGCAGGGTGCAACACTACCTCACCAACCCCGCTCAGAGACACAAATTTTGATAATATCAAGGACAACCACAGAGATTTGTCCCTTGGGAATGAATGAAGGAATATACCCCTGCAGACAGCATGAACGATGAGGTGTTCTCCTTTTGAGTGTTTACTCAGTAGTGAAGGGATTGAATCCATCGCTTTAGGCAGCTTGCAAAACGGTAAAGTCTTCATGCCATCTGTCTCTGCTGAAATCAGTTGGTTGGTCAGCAGCAGTTTGCTGGTGCTCTGCAAAGGACCTCGCAGTGGATGTCAGCAAGACACAGCAAAACTCAAGCCATGACCAGACTTGACACCAGAAATCAAGTTGTCACCACTGGTGACTCATCAGCGCAAGCTGCGGATCAGTCTTGTGTCTCAAGGTTGTCTTCAAGGCAGCCAAGAATGGGTTGAAAGATAGGTTGACCAGCCATCTTGTGCTGTGTTCCAGGGCCGTGCAATTGAACATGACCCTCTTGGTTGCTGGCTTCATCATCGGTAAGCAGAGTGCGCCCTTGGGAGAAGGACACTCGACCAATGCAATACAGTGCTGTGTATCAGCTGCCAAGTCCTGTCTCCCGCACCGGAGTTCGGGATGCATGGCATGCAGCTGCCTCTGGGTACATATGAGATTTGTGGCAAAAGCTAACACTGTGCAAGAGGAGGTGGTCTGCGATTCGCCCCTGGCGATTGCACACGGGGCGCTGTCGTACGGCCCGTTGTGCTGACTTGCTGCAGTTTCCGAACGATGCTGTATATCACCCCGGTTTCTTGTCTCCGATGGGCAAGCGTTGTTCCCTTGCTCACAAAGGCAACATGCCTGCGCAGCCTTACATGGCCATGAACGCGACCGACATGCTGGCTGGGGGACAAATATAGCACGGGCATAGGATACAAGGAAAGAGAACTTGCGTTTTCGCTCGACCCCAACCTAGTGGCTGTCGCCATTCTGCCAGTTGCGAATGTGCCCTTCAGCGCACACTCTGCCCAAGGGGTTGTTGCTGCTGGGGACGAATGGGAGCAATGCCATTCGGGGGCCAGCGAACGGCATCACACAGTGGGTGCCACGGCGGGACCTTCCGCCCATTTTATTTCATTTTTCGTTTATTTCTATTTTACTTTCATGTTGGCGCATTGAGCGACTGCCGATGTGCGTGCCGTGCAGGGCCCTGCGGCGTGTCGATCCGCGACATTGTGTGCAAGTCCGGCGCGAGCATTTCATCGTGCACGAGGATCTCGAGGACCTTGAATGGCAGGAGGATACGCGTCTTCCACATCAAGGTGGGAATTGCCCATTTTTCCCATCTTGATTTTGCCTATAGTAATTGGTTTCGCGTAATTTTTGCAGAAAGGCGTGTGTTGCATTTGGCGCTGTGATGCCATCTGGGAAAATGGTTAGAGTGATGCTCTTCGCGCACGTGCTGGGCGCCTCTGCTTTCAGCCTTCGACGCGTCGATGTGAGATTGCACCCCGTGCTCCAGCGTTTGGGGTCCAAGCGCAATCTGAGGCGTTGAGCAACGAGCGAAAAGGCTGCGGCGAACGGCTGGCCGCTTGTGGTGATGGCCTTTTTCTTTTTTCCCCTGTTTTTGTGTCAAGGTCGTGAATAATAAACGCCTGTGGCTGCGCCCACCCGCTGGTGGGAAATGACTCCAAAATGCGGTTGACTGTGAATTCTGTTAAATTTGCGTTTCTTTTTAATATAAATTTCATTCTTTATCGGTAAAGAATATTTTGCTTGCAAATGTTATGTGCTGTGTGTTGTTACCATACTGGTTTGTTTATTCAATTGATGCATTGCTTTCAGCAAATAGGACGCGTCAAAAGCGGACAGAGCTGTGCGACCAGGGCGGAGTTTGTGGATGTAGCGCGTCAGCTGGTGGCGGCAAGTCTGAGATTATCACTCGTGGAACAGATTTTTGCCCTCGCTGAATTTGAAAAATGCATGGTCATCCTATCCACAGCTGGGCGCCCGTTCTGGCTGAACGGCTGCATGGCAGGGTAGTGCTTGATATTGCGGCATAACGTCATGCGAGATCGTGTTATGACGTCGCATTACATTATGGCATGATGCTGTTTGAAATTATGGCATGAGGTCAGGGCACCAGCACCACGATTGTTCTTGTCTCGTCGTGAACAATTTCAGCAATCCATTTCAGCAGCCCGTTGCGCTGACACGTGGCGCCCCTTGCGCCGCTTGCTGCTGCCCAGGGCACTCCAGATTCGATCTCCCTTGCAGTGAAAATAATGCTCATGGCTGTGGGCCGCTACAAGGACCTAGCGGAGGGCAAGTACAAAGGTGCGCCTGCCATGACCGCTCTGCCCGGCCGACCATTCCCATCTTCTGATGAATGAAACACTCTCAAGGGAGACTGCGGTCCATGGATTAGTGCATTATAGTCCATTTGTACCCTCTCTTCTGCATGCTTGGTAGTGTGGCAAACGTGAGGTCGTGCGATCCAGGGGACTGGTGCCTGCTCGCGGGGGAGGCGGGGACGGCCCTGTGTGTGGGCTTTGTGCTTGCATGGTATCTGGCTCACGGGCACGCCCGTTTCTGCATCCCTCTAGTCAGTGCAGTAGACACCCATGCAGAACAGCACCTTTGAAATTGAGCATAGCAAATTATCCTATTTTCTGATTCCCAAAATATTCTTGATTCGCTGCTTAATGCCTTGGCAACAGTGACAGCCGCGAAATTGCCGCCAAGTTCTCTTTCTGATCTCGATGTTTCTCGAAATCCTCCCATCCTGCCTCACTTTCTGGGTTTCTGGACATGTCCAATTCGGCCAGTCTTGTAGCGGGAAGGGCGTACAGTATCCCGAGATGAAATGGCTCAAAAGGCCGGTTTTCGGAAGTTTGACATCCCGTCACCACCTCACAGTTGGACCAAAGGACTGAATCAGGGCGACATCCGCGTTTTCAAAGCGGGTCAAATGCTGATGACACTGACAACAGAAGGTCACCAGATGATATTTTTACCCATTAAAGAATGTTAAGATGGCGCAAGAGCTGGCGCAGTTTTGGCACTGTTCACAACCGTGAAGTCATCGCTTCCAGCACCGCAGCCCTCAACATGCTTGCAAGCAAAGAGAGTGCAAGCCGAATTCCTGAATGCTGCCGATCACTATTGTGTACTACTGAATGTTGCTGACTACCGCTGAGCGGTAGTCACCGGATAGTAGTCACCGGTAGTAGTCACCGGATCCTGTACCAATTTTGCCCTAAATGGCCCCAAATGCCTCATTCCTAGTCTCAGCGTTGGGAAGTCTGCGTGAAATCGGTCAAAAGTGTGAGAAAATGAAATCTTATAGTTCATATGGAATTGCGCACTAGCGTCGATGAAAGTCCATGAGAATGTGCATTCTGCTGGCGATATTTCTGTTCCGTGTGAAATGCGCGGTATGATGTGCATGTGGAGTCTCCATGTTCATGAGGAACTGGTACTGGCGAGCACTGCACACTGCTGTCAGTAGTGCTGCACTACTGGGCTCAATGAGCCTTATGCCATCCTATCTTTTGGACAGAAAAATGGTCTCAGACCATGTGACGTGCCCCCCACCTCACCCACTTACCCACCAACCCACCCCCGTTTGGACTTGCGAGCAGGCAGGCGTGTGCGATCTGCACAAGTCGTGGAAGGGGTGGAGTTTGTTTATCGCCCGCCGCCCAAGGGCAGAGTTCCTCACGCGGCGTCCATAGACTGCCAGTGGTACAGCCTCGGGGAGGAATAGGTGGCCAGGTCAGCGGATGTGCTCCGTGACTGCTTTTGCTGTTGCCCGACGGAACGCTATTGTTGATGCGACATTGGCGTGACCATTGTTTGTTGACGATGCACCGGCGCGGCAGGGAATGTCTGGCATTGATTCGTTGAGAGGAAATCAGCCTCATGAACTGCCGTGAATCGATATACTATTTGTTGTCTTCTCGTTGTGCTGGGGTCCCCAAACATGCCCTGGAGCGCTGCTGAAACATCTTGTCGTGGCGCTGCTGCGTGGCCCTCCATGCTACCCGGTGAACTTGCACAAGCGGAAGGGCTGGACGTGCCTAGACACCACGTTGCTCTGTTTGATGTGCTTGTTTGCCTCATGCGCAATTCGTGGCTTCGTGTTGTTCTGCGTGGCATGTCCAAGGGGCACGTTTTCAGCTCAACCACTGTAGCAGGGTTCCCTTGCATGTAGTCGTCGGCGAACTTCTGCCCCGTCTCCATTGAAGCATTGAAGGTTCAGGACGCTGCCAGCTAAAAAAGTGTTTTTTCGCCCTCAGGTCCTGACTGGCAGAACGTTGTGAACCTCGAACACAATTTCCAATGCGAGCACCGGGACGCCCTGCGCGTCCGCCGGGTGCCGCGCATAGAATGCGGGCTCAAGGGAAGTTTTAAGATTTTGGAAACGCCAAGTTAATGACCCGGGCATCGAGCGACGTGCCGAGCCCGGGTTGGCGCCTAGAAAATGACGTGGCCATCATGGGAACTTTTAACTCTTGGCTTTTATATTTGGGAGGCGCCTAGAAAGCGACGAGAGCCGGGGCGCGCGCGCTGAGCGCCCCTCGGAGGATGTCCCCTGCCGGTCCAGCGAGGGCTCCATGGCGCATAGACACTGTGTATTTGATAGGGGTTGGTGTGGGATGGAATGAGGATCCACATGAATTGCTGCCCAAGGCATCGTTGATTGGAGACGGTACGTGCATTGATGAGAATGAATCAGCTCCAGAATCGAACGAAGATGGCGAAAGTTGCTTCTCTGTCCCTGCGATCTCCGGCGCGGCGGCTGGGGAACTCTGCGCACGCTGGTGCGTCCCCCGCCGCCGCCGGGGTTTAGTCATAATAGTTGGCCGTTGGCTAGGGTTGAAATAAGACACACTTGGGGATGCGGGGGTGGCCGCGGGCGTGCCGGCCCCCTGCCCCGCGGGCGCCGTCGGCGACTGGCCGCTCCCCGGGCAGCGGAGGCCGGCTCCCCGCGCCACACCGCGGGCCCCCTAGGTTAGTGCGGAATAGACGGGTCCTTGGCGTGGATTTCTCCCGACGTTGACAACAGCGACGGCCGGGAGGTCTGCACTGTCGCCTCGCGCCTCTGGGCACCTGCGCCGGCTGCCCCGCGCACTTGCGCGAGCACGTGCAACTTGGGGCGCCGCGGTTTGGTGTCGGGAGCGCCGAGGTGGGTTGGATAGCTATAGCGTGTTGTGTACTTGTGTATAAATGGGTCAACTGAAGGGGGCCTGACTTGTCCTTGGAAGGGAGCTGGGGCGACCTACAAGGGCCGAACTCCGCTGAACGGATACGTTGGATTGTGAAACGGAATGAGAGCGCCCTTTTGTATATTGTACGGTGCGTGGCCGCTTGCTGTAGCCATTCAAGGCCACCCGGTGTTGGGGCGCCATTCCTGGTTTGTGGACGAGTGTGCCTCCCGGTTGCGGGGGCTTGGGTGGGAACGTGTTTTGCGACCGTCGGAGGCGTGCGCCACTGAGGGCGGACCCTGCGCTTGCAAACAGAAACTTGACAAGCTTCCATTTGATTGTAACTAGCTGACGTCATTGGTACGCTGCAGTCGCGGTGGTGCCATCAGTTGTGGAAGGACGCCCGGACGCACGCCTGTGTGTCGTGGCGCACCTGGGGAGCATTCTTGTTTGTTCTCGACGCCAAAATTTATCTATTGATGCTATCTTCCTGCCCAAACCTGCCGACCAACCGACGGCATATCCAGGCTTGGTTTTTACGTTTACGTTTACGTTTTTACTTTTACGTTTTTACGCGTAAAAACGTAAATTTGCAAAAGACCCTATTTTTACGGCTATTTTTACGTTTTTACGGCTCCCTTGGACGCCCAGATTACGTGATGAAAGTTGCGTACAATGGTCAGTCCTCCGCCATATCCAGCACCCGCAACACAGTGTCCACCTCGCCCTTGGCAAGGGCGATGATAGTGTTTGACAAAAACTCGTTTTCTGCCCCATCCAGGGCGTCTGGCTGCCACTCTCCGGACTCCGTAAGTTTGTATGTACTGTCCTTATGTACACCGGGCAGTTTTTACGTTGTATTTACGTATTTTTACGCATTTTTACGCGTAAAAACGTAAAAACTGTTTTTACGCGTAAAAACGTAAATACGATCAGTTTTTACGGCATAAAAACCAAGCCTGGGCATATCTACTTGCTACGAGCATTGGCTGTCATGCGGTTTGTAAGTGTAGCGTACTCGATTCCGGAATTGTCTATTGATGCAATCTGCTTGCCCAAACCTACCCACCAACCGACACCATACCTACTTGCAACGATTGACCGGCACGCGACTTGGTAGTTTTGGTGCCGAGCTTCAAGTGCAGCCTCGGGTGCGGAGAAATAGTCTTGCCACTTTGCCGCGTTGCTTCCAAACTGGCGAATGCGTCGAGCCATGATATGGATTGACAACACGCGCCGGAGAATCTTGACGAGAACTGACGCCTTCCAAAAGATTCCTCGGTGCCGAGGTCGAGCGCTCTTGGCGGGTCCAGTGCAGCAGTTCCTTGCACCGATAAAAATGGCCCTGAGGCGGGGTTCGGATCATGGTTCGCGATTTGAAATCCCGATTTTGCTCCTTCAAGCACTGAGTGCACTGCCGGCGCCGCGGCTTGCCCGCACGCTGTCCGCTGCCAGGGAGCGCGACTCTGCGAGGGCGTTCGCACTGTGGCCCACTGCCGCGAAGACGGGAGCGGATATCCTACAGATGCATACCCTGAAAGCCCGAACGCCCGACTCTAACCAGCCTTCGTCCCCTCACCATCGGTGGTCTGTATCTGGAACAGTGTGCTCTTTGTCACTGCTGAAGGTGCCTTGCGGCTGCACGCCTCCCGTCGGCGTGAAGCCAGTCGCCCTGTCTTGTCCGTGAAGGTTCCTCTTTGTTTCGGACACCCTGAGCCCTCAAGGCATAAAATTACTCCCTGCATCAAATCGGTGACTGCTTGCACGAAAACGGTGACTTCTTGCACCAAGTCACGTGCACATCATGTCCAACTCCGTCAAAACTAACCTAACCTAAAACCTAAACCCTAAAACCTAAACCTAAACCTGTCCTAACCCAAACCCTAACCCTAAAACTCACCCTGAACTAAACCTAACCCTAAAACTGAGGTTAGGACAAAGTGTGCACGTGACTTGGTGCAAGCAGTCACCGATTTGGTGCAGGCAGTAATGTTATTTCGAACCCTCAACCCCGGACTCGCTGACCGGCGTTGGCCCTGTCAGCGGAAGAAGAAAGGGTCTTGACGGAAAAAGGGACGCACGTATTCTTGGCATAAAATTACTCCCTGCATCAAATCGGTGACTGCTTGCACGAAAACGGTGACTGCTTGCACCAAGTCACGTGCACATCGTGTCCAACTCCGTCAAAACTAACCTAACCTAAAACCTAAACCCTAAACCTACACCTGTCCTAACCCTAACCCTAACCCTAAAACTCACCCTGAACTAAACCTAACCCTAAAACTGAGGTCAGGACAAAGGGTGCACGTGACTTGGTGCAAGCAGTCACCGATTTGGTGCAGGCAGTAATATTATTTCCGTATTCTCCCTCCCGTCATCCCCCTCATTCCTGTGACGGACACCCCACCACCTGTAAGTCCTTGTTTATGCAAGGTAGCGGGGATCACGCGCGATGGACCAACGCTTTACTCGCTCGTTGCAGAGCTCACTCACACTCAGGACACTTTGAGCCAGTGATGTCCGCCACAGGGCGTCGGGCGCAGAGGGGCATTCTTACACATAAGAGCATCCATTTATAGTACAAGTTCCTCGTTCGTTTTTACTTGCACCCTTGCTGGCTCCTTTTCTGTCCGTACTGCTTTCCCTTGCACTTCCCATTGAAACCCAGCATCCCAACTACCCCTTGCCAGCCTGTCCCGCTTCCACCCGCATGCTCTACCCCGTAGTCTCCCTTAGCCCTCCCTATTCCTGTCCGCAAAGCCATACTAGCGCGAAGTCACCCCAAGCCCATCCTAATTCCTGTCCCAAAGCCCTCACTACTACCTTGACTACCTTCCCACTGCATCCATCTTCTAAATGCCTGCCGTTCCGACCTGCCGCAGGGCCAGGACTCCCTTTTTTCCTTATAGTACATTACCCCAAAAGTCCTGGGTCCCACCAGGACAGCTCCGCCCAATACCTATCTCGCCGATCCTCCTGCGCGATTTACCCCGTCCGCGCGATTCACTCCAACCAGCCCGCCCGGTATCCTTCTGTCCAACGTAATTCGTTGGTCGTGGGGCCGCGGTACCATACCGCGTCAGCGCCCGTCAGTTCCAGTCCCGGGCCCGTCACCAGCGCCCACACGCCCCCGTTTCCCGGTCTTCCCCTGCTCCATACGTACAGGGACCCCTCCTCGCCCCAAGTGAACCACCGGCCGCCCCTCAAGAAGGATCGGCTACGACGGGAGCGTTCCGCGGCAGAGAGTGGAGGGGGCCCCCGCCGTGTGATCCGTGGAGCGACCGGCCGCATCGCCGCGCGTGGATCCTCAGGTGTGCCATCCGCGTCGCCCGCCGCTGCTCCCCTCATCGTCACTCGTAGGCCCGTCAATGCGCCTGCGCTGGCCTGTCGCGCGCGCGCCGCACGTCGCGGAACCGCGTCGCACTCGGTCGACGCCCAGTCAACGTACCCAGGTGCCTCCGGCACGAACTCCCATTCGCACGCATTCTCGTGCGCGGAACCGTCCTCCTGGCTGCGCGGCTCAACCGGCTCCCCGTCATTTGCTTGCGGCGGGGTCTGC